CCGTAAATCAAAACTTTTTTAGATTCCTTTTGTTAGGGCAAATCTTGTTTAAGTTGGAGATGAAACTAATTCTTTATTTAAAGATAAGTTCTTTTAGTTCGTTTTTGTTAGGGGTCGTTAGTAAAATTTTCATTAGTTTCTTTAAGTTGGATATGGAACATTTTCTTTTTTTAAAGATCAATTCTTTTTCCTTTTTTTTGTTAGGGGTCGTAAGTCAAAACTTTTTTAAATTCTATTTTTAGGCAAATCTTATTTAAGTTGGACATGGAACTAATTATTTATTGAAAGATAAGTTCTTTTAGTTCGTTTTTGTTAAGGGTCCTGAGTCAAATTGTCATTAGTTTCTTTAAGTTGGATATAAAACTTATTCTTTTTTTAGATTCTTTTTGTCAGGGCAAATCTTGTTTAAGTTGGAGATGGAACTAATTCTTTATTTAAAGATCAGTTCTTTTTTGTTAGGGGTTGTAAGTCAAATTGTCATTAGTTTCTTTAAGTTGGATATGGAACTTATTCTTTTTTTTAAATCAGTTAATTTTTTTTGTTATGGGTCGTAAATCAAAACTTTTTTAGATTCTTTTTGTTAGGGCAAATCTTGTTTAAGTTGAATATGGAACTAATTCTTTATTTAAAGATAAGTTCTTTTAGTTCGTTTTTGTTAGGGGTCGTAAGTCGAATTGTCATTAGTTTCTTTAAGTTGGATATAAAACTTATTCTTTTTTTAGATTCTTTTTGTTAGGGCAAATCTTGTTTAAGTTGGAGATGGAACTAATTCTTTATTTAAAGATCAGTTCTTTTAGTCCGTTTTTGTTAGGGGTTGTAAGTCAAATTGTCTTTAGTTTCTTTAAGTTGGATATGGAACTTATTCTTTTTTTAAAGATCAGTTAATTTTTTTGGTTAAGGGTCGTAAATCAAAACTTTTTTAGATTCTTTTGGTTAGGGAAAATCGGGGAAAATCTTGTTTAAGTTGGATATGGAACTAATTCTTTATTTAAAAGATAAGTTCTTTTAGTTCGTTTTTGTTAGGGGTCGTAAGTCGAATTGTCATTAGTTTGTTTAAATTGGATATGGAACTTATTCTTTATTTAAAGATTAGTTCTTTTACTTCGTTTTGGTCGTAAGTCAAATTTTTATTAGATTCTTTAAGTTGGAGATGGAACTTATTCTTTTTTAAAGATAAGTTCTTTTTCTTTTTTTTTGTTAGGGGTAGTAAGTCAAAACTTTTTGTCAGGTCAAATCTTGTTCCTTGGTGATATGTTAGTGCTTAAAGTACTTTTCGCCAACAATGTTGGCATCTTCAGAAGCGAATTGTAACTAAATCTAAATGCTAAATCTACCAAATTTATACTAATTATTATAGTTTACCAAACCCTTGACCGTAATCGCTCCAGTGAACACGTAAAAAGAAACTAACAAACTCTAGTTGGGTACCGGTCCGTTATCGATATTTAAACATTTATTTCTATTCTTTTGGTGTATAAACTTTTATAACTATCTAGTAGGCGTAAGTTTAAGGTTGTCAAATAGTATTCTATGACCATCATCAAGTATATGTAGGGGAACAATCGATTTCTCTGTCCTACCAAATCTAGCACTTGGCCCCTGCTGGATTTGGTAGGACAGAGAAACCGAATGTTGCTCAACATCCGCTCGATTTCTTTGTGCTACAAAATCTAGCACTTGGCCAATGCTAGATTTTGTAGCACAGAGAAACCGAATGTTGCTCAACATCCGCTCGATTTCTTTGTGCTACAAAATCTAGCACTTGGCCAATGCTAGATTTTGTAGCATAGATAAATCGAGTTACTTGATGATGGTCACACAATAGGATTTAACAACCTTAAACTTATTAAGGAACATAAGAAACCAAGTCTGCTAGATAGTTATGAAGGTTTATACATCCATAAGAATAGAAATAAATCTTTAAATAGCGATAACAGACCGGTACCCTAGTCTAGTTTGTACAAATTAGTTTGTTAGTTTCTCTTTAAGTGTTCAATGAAGCGATTACGGTCCAGTGGCCGTTTACGGTTCAGTCAACCTTAGCTTATAATTAGTATAAATATGGTGGATTTAGCATTTAGATTTAGTTACACTTCGCTTTGTGCACTTTGTGTTCTTTTACTTCGTTTATGTTAGGGGTAGTAAGTCAAATTGTTATTAAATTCTTTAAGTTGGAGATGGAACTTATTCTTCTTTTAAAGATTGGTTCTTTTACATCGTTTTTGTAGGGAACGTAGGTCAAAACTTTTTTAGATTCTTTTTGTCAGTTCAAGTCTTGTTTAAAGTTGGACATGAAACTTATTCTTATTTAAAGTTAAGTTCTTTAAGTTCGTTTTTGTAGGAAACGTGGGTCAAAACTTTTTTAGATTCTTTTTGTCAGGTCAAATCTTGTTTAAAGTTGGAGATGGAACTTATTCTTTATTTAAAGATTAGTTCTTTTTCTTCGTTTATGTTGGGGGTCGTAAGTCAAATTGTTATTAAATTCTTTAAGTTGGAGATGGAACTTTTTAAATATTAGTTCTTTTACATCGTTTTTGTAGGGAGCGTAGGTCAAAACTTTTTTAGATTCTTTTTGTCAGGTCAAATCTTGTTTAAAGTTGGAGATGGAACTTATTCTTTATTTAAAGATTAGTTCTTTTTCTTCGTTTATGTTGGGGGTCGTAAGTCAAATTGTTATTAAATTCTTTAAGTTGGAGATGGAGCTTATTTTTTTTTAAGATTAGTTATTTTAGTGAAAAAAGCAAATCTTGTTTAAGCTGGAGATGGAACTTATTCTTTATTTAAAGATTAGTTCTTTGTAGGGAACGTAGGTCAAAACTTTTTTATATTCTTTTTGTCAGCGCTAATCTTGTTGGAGATGGAACTAATTCTTTATTTAAAAATCAGTTCTTTTAGTTCGTTTTTGTTAGGGGTCGTAAGTAATATAATATTATTATTATTAGATTCTTTAAGTTGGATATGGAACTTATTTTTTTAAAAAGATCAGTTGTTTTACTTCGTTTTTGTAGGGATCATAGGTCAAAATTTTGTTTAAATTCTTTTCGTCAGGTCAAATTTCAAGTTGGAGATGAAATTAATTCTTTATTTGTTCGCTTTTGGGTAGGTAAACATATTTTTTAAATTATTTTCGTCGTTGTAGTCTGTTTTAGATAGTGATTATCCTATGGAACCAGGCGCCCAGGAGTTTCCTATAAAACCCTCCTTTTTATTCCTTCCATTTAGACCCATTTTAGTTCAATTTCACAATCTTCAGATTGTTGAATTAAATTAAAATGGTAGATGGATCTTGAAAGTACTTTTTGGATTTTGTCTCGGAACATCGGTAATCCGTGCTAACCCGTTTTTAACGTGGAGCATGTTGTTGCGCACCGGCTCTAATCTATTTGTAACTTAATTATCTGTCGTTTTCCTTTTCTACCCTTCCTATTACCCTAATTCCTTCATTTGGACCTGACATGGACATCTTGGAACTTCAGGGTGCGAGTGAATCTTATATGCGAGTATGTATAGAACCAGTAAATTTGTTTTTTGCGTGTTTTTGTTTATTTAAATACTTTATCTGTTTTAGGAAATTTTAGGTATATAATATGATAAGGAGGGTGGAGGGTAACTCCGCCAGGTATTTTTAACCTGCCGGTCCCAAGCCCGGATAAAGGAGGAGGGCCCTTACTCTTTTCTATTTTTTTTATATTGTTTTCGTCGGGTCAAATCTTGTTTAGGTTGTAGATGGAACTTAGATGGTTTTTGTCAGGTTGGAAATTTTTCTTTTTTAAAGATCAGTTCTTTTATTTCCTTTTGGTATAGACTTCCAATTTAGCACCTTGTTTAGGTAGGAAATTAAACGTTTTCATATTTTAAAGATCAGTTCTTTTGGTATGAACTTAATACTATAAAGTACATAAGTCAAATCTCTTTTAGGCAGGGTTCCCAGACAGCAATATGACGTCTTAATTAAGTATGCATAAGTTCTATTTTATGATTTTGACTTTAAATACAACATCAGAAAGAAGTTTTTAAGAAGTTCTTAAGACTTCGAATGCGCCACCTATTGAACTAATCAAGACTTCTCAAAAAAGAACTCTTGAGGAACCCTTTTCTTTGACTTCGCAGTTAAGCATTTTAAAGAGTCCTACTGTATAAACTTATAAAAAGACTTCCTTAGAATTTCCCGTTTTAGATAATATCTTATAATATATTATAGAAGTACTATAGTACTTCATTAGTCAATAGAACTCGCAAAAATAAGATGACAATTTAATATGAACTTCTATGTTTTAAGGCCTCGTTTTCAAAATACAGGGTGGTAAATTTTTTTTTAAATATTTATTTTTTCAAAAATTTCAAAAACTTTTGGGCCGAATTTAATAAAAATTTTCAGGTTTTTAGCAATTGAATTGAATTTAAATTCAATTAAGGAAACCCAACTGGATATTTAAAAATAAAATTTTGGTAGGTGCGCTACTGATTTTTTTAAAGTTTAATCATAGAACTTTGAGTTAAGCCACAAAACCATAAATCCGCGGAATTTCTATGATAAAACAGTAGCGCTTTTGGTTGTAACTTTTTTGTTAATATAAAAAACAAAGAATCAAAAATTCTACTTTTTTCTGATAAAAATCTCCGCTAGTTGTCTTACTACGACAATATTATTTTTGGTTGAGGCAACTAAAAAATACAACTTTCTCATCTTAATCATTAAAAATTTGTTTATTTGCCCTGAAAAAATCTAAATATAATATTAAACTTACAATAAAGTGACAGAACCATATTTTTTTTATTAACTTTAATACCCTGTATCTTGAAAACAAAGTTTTATAGCTTATAATTTCTTACACCTACATTTTTCTTCCTATTTTTGTAAGTTCGATTACAAAATTTTCACGAATAAAATCTGAGAGACACCCTATAAACATGTATACAGGTACAATTTATTATTATATTATTGTCCTGCCGCCAATTTCTAGTAAATTCGAGCTAAAACAGCCGGTGAAGAAACTTACCTCTTTTGGTCGTTATCATTTGAACTGGGGTTTCGCAGGTTCTCCCTGTGAAGCCTCGTTTACAATGGCAAATTATTGCAGAAGTACCACAATGACTGAAAAAAAAAGATAAAAATATACAGGGTGTCCCAAGAGTTGCGCACACGATCTACAGACCCACAGAAATCCCAGACAATTGTTAAAAAATTCTACCTTCATTACATATTTAAAACGATACAGGGAATACATATTTTCTTTAAATGGCAATATTGTTAAATAATAAAGTGGTAATTATTATAACAACAACAAAAAATATAATAAAGTGTGATATTATTAACATTAACCTGGTAAACACTAGATACATATCACAATACACTTATACATGTCAATATCTAACAGAAATGCTATGACAATATAATTAACAATGTCAATCATTGTACTTGAGGTATAATAAGATTTGAATAATACAGGGTGTCACCAAATAAGTTGTTATAGGGATGATAGTACACGCCAAAAAAAGAAAATTTTTTTAGAGATAAAAACAATCATGATATATGGGTAAATATTTTAAAACTGTCGATTTTCGGAACACATACAAAAATTGCAAATCTTATTAATTTTGCACTTTTAGGACTTTTCCACTCATGAACATAGACGTGAAGACTAAAAACGTAATTTTTTTTTGTCTTTTTTAGAAAGTTGAACCGACGGTTTTACTTGTTCATCTCTTATTCTTCTGCGTCTCTTACGTTCTGCTGGTTTTTTAGCTTCGTTGGTCAACTTGTTTCGTGGTTTTGTCAATTTAATTAATTTCCCACTAAAATGATATATTTTAAATTGGTTACATGTAAGGGGCACGACAATGACGAGCACGGTAATGATGATTTTAAGGTTAGAGTGTTTTACAATGTTTATTCGAAAATGTAATGGAATTTTCAAGTTACCATTTGCTGTTTGTTAATGCAAGACTCCTTTGTATTAATGTAAATATTTTTTATGTCTATAAACTTTGAAATAATACTTACCTCGATAATGACGAACTTAGACGTAACAAGCCGTTTTCGTTTTCATTCGGCGCACGTCACAACTTTATGCTTTGACATATGCTAGTGGATGTTAGACGGGCAGGGTATTTCCTTATCAGACGTTCAAAAACTTCCGGCATTTTCCGAATGTATCAAGTATTTAAATATGAAATTAGACACATTTTAAGTAGAAAAGAAAAGTTAACGTTTTAAAATGCAATTTCTTGCTTGCATTGTATTATTTTGTATTTTCTTCGTCTGTGTTAGACAGGATATTGCAAAATTTAATTTGTAAATAAATGTAAGAAAATAATATGTTGTTGTTCTTCGAATGTGAACAAGGCACGGTAATGTTTGCGACACAAAAATTAAAATATATTTTTTACTATGCTCGTTTAGACTAAAATAAGTAAGGAATCAAGTATAAATAGTTAATTAAACTAGACATCAAGTATTTTATTTTCAGTGGTAGGTATATTACCTTTTGAAATAACAAGCCAGAACCGATTGAATTACAATATTCACACATATAGGTTTTGTCAAAAAAATTCATAATTTTTTGTCTTGGCGTGTACTATCACCCCCACAAAGGATGACAATTTATTAGGTGACACCCTGTATACACATATTATTTTTAAATTATAAAACTTAGTTTTTATGTAATAAATTCTTTTTAAATAAGGAAGATAAATTTTTTTAACAATTTTGCTTATTTTATACCATGCTTAGTTATGCTTATAAATAAAATATTTTATTATTTTATAGCCGTATTAAAATAATATTCTGTGGCGTATTTTCACATAAAACCCCTTTTTAACGTCCTTTTTGATGATTTAGGTAATTCAGCAAACATCTGACCTCTTTGACTCTTTTTTAAAGTGGCTTGCAACCTTAACTGGGACCACAATCCCGACTTAAAGCGGGAGCAAGTGTACCATAAATACAGTCAACTTGTCACTGGCATAACTTATAGGCTTGGGTAGGAAAAAAGCCAAACAGGAAAGTAAATAAAAACATTCGCCCTCTGAAGGTTTTAAAAGTAAATTTGTTTTTTATGAAAAACAAACAAAAATAAGTTTTTATTTCATGTTGAACTTTACGGTAAAATTAAAAATGTATATAGGTGAATCTCACGAAATGTCCCCCGATGGTGTTACCCCGTGATATTTAATAAAACTAAATGAGTTTGACCTACACTTTTATTGTGTTTTGATCTTTCATAATTACATAGATATTACAGCTCAGGTTCCAGATTTTTAACCGCAATTAATTATTTTTTACAATGTTTTAAAAGTCTAAAACCTATCCTCCGTGGCTGTTACTCTTCCTAGGTTAACCTATAATTATTCAAATATCTGAGGTAGAAGCATACTAAAAATATCACTTCACTAAGTAAATTAAACACATCCAAAGCAATAGAATCAAATATAAAATATTATTAAAAATTAAAAGAAATAATTTTTATAACCATTTATGTAGGTGTTACAAAATTGATTCTATCCTCCGTGAATCTGTTTTTGCTTTAAATTTTATGCAACGGATGGCGCTTTAATCATTTTAAATAAGCAAAAACCTCTGTTTACGATATTATAGATGCATGTGATTCCTGAAGGTCAGTTAGAATTTATATGCAGATGAGAGTGTTGCTGTTTTATAATTCAAAAGTTTAAGTTCATTAATTTGCTATTTAAAAACCTATCCACCGTAAAGTGTAATATCCCAGTAAGTAGATTTTTTTATAAATATTTTATGTATGTACAATTGTATTTTTAAAAAATATTAAGGTGTCAAAAGATACAATAACTTATTTCAAATATAAAAAGGGATGTTTAAAAAAAACATACGAAACACTAACCTCCGTGAAGCTCTAATATTCAAAATGTATGATTTCTTAAAATTCTTGCAGAACCCCATTCTAGACTAACAGTGAAACAAACAAAAATAAAAAATAATCATTTTTACTTGGGGGACATCTCAATATATTCACCCATATGTGGTGAGCACTATTCTAAATCATTTTTAAAATATTGATAATAAAATTAAAAATTTATAAATTGATAAGAATCGTCCTTTAAAATTACTGTTAAAATTTCAGATCAATCTGTCAACAAGTTTTGATTTTGTAGCGTATCTTGTTATTTATAACATATATGTTATAAATAACAGGTTACTGTTACTGTTTATAAACATAAAAAGATACTTACACACATGTGGCATTATTTTTGCAGGTAGGAACACCTTTGGCATTGTAGCAAAGTGATTTTGGTCCACTGGAACAATGAGGTCCTGAATATCCTTCAAAACAGTCGCAACTGAATTTGCTGTAAAAAATAACACCATTACTTGTTTTATCCTTGATTAAAAAAGCAATAAATCAAATCAGTTGCGAGTGTTTTCATCCTGAATCATAAATACCTCATACATACGAAAGGGATGTGCTATAGATATAGAAAAAAGTAAAAACTTTATTAATGTGATTTATTCTGTCTGCGAATTTTTTGAAGAGTTTTACGTTGGTTTTATTGGATTTATAACGTCTGAACGTCATAGAATTCATTTTCATATAGAACACGTTACGTCTATGTTTTGTTGCGAGGTTTTTTCACTTTTAACGGTATATTTACATTTGTTTTAGTAAAAAAATAAAAAAGAAGATGGCAATTTAATATATACAGGGTGAGTCATTTAACTTGAAACTTTGAAATATCTCAGTTAGTATGCATTTTTAAAAATCAATTTTGTTCGATTTCACCGCACAGTCAAGCAGTTTACTACAAACGGGAGTGTTCAACCGAAAAAAAGAGTTCGTTGAGCAAATATTTAATATTGTTATTTTAAGCACCTACTTTAATTAAAGTTTAAAAAATAAATAAATAAATTTAAAAAATTCAAAAATTATTGGAGAATCGTATACAGAAGAAAAATCGAACAAAATTGATTTTTTTTTTCATTACAGCGTTATCTATTACAAATATGGAAAAATGTTTTAGACAAAATCTACTCATTTTTAGTCGGATGATCCGAATCTGCAATAAAAAATAAGGTTACCAAAGTTACCCCCTGTTCCCCCTATAAGGAGGAGAGTATGAGGACCAATTTTAGTACTGATTGATTTCCCCCCTCGAATCATTTAATTTTTATTTTAAACATTTTTTCGTAAAATGCATATTTTAAAATTAACTTCATTTAAAAACTTTTGGTTGGAAGCTTAAGTTAGATTTAGTTTTATACACATAAATATTATAAAATATTCGGATATATAATGGGATATTTAGTGACCTGATTCAGGAGACTCGGGTTCATTATTAATGGTTGTTAGGTTTTCCTTTTTCCATCCACTACCTAAATAGACTTGTAATTGCAATTTGTCTGTATTATTTACGCTGACGTTCGGTTTAATATTTCAACTAGGTCTCGATTACCGTCAATTAACGGCCTCTGTTCATTTGAAAAGTATGAGGGAAAGACTGAAAATCTCACAAAAAAATTAAATTTCATAAAAAATTATTCGTAGCTTATTGACTTCGACCCTGGATTTTAAAACCCAAAAAATCTAGGAGCGTTAAATCGCAGAACCTTGGTGGCCAGCTATAACCACCAAATCTCCTTAAAAGTGATTGTGTTAGGCGCAATATGGTGAAACCAAAAATTTTGCCATTAACAGTAACAACATATCATTGCTCATTTAAAAAAAGGTATGGGACCTTTTTTGTCTATTTAAATCCAGTAGGATATATATATATATATATAAAATGAATTAGTCAAAAATGACTAATTTAATAGTTATTAATGGCTGCTTTTTCACTTGTAGCATGGTTAACCATGAAATACCATGGTATCCCCAAATTTCGTCAAAAGTTAAAAAAGTAGAACAGTTTTTGGGATATAGTCAATTTTCCACTTTCATAATTTTTTACTGTATTTTTGGATTCAGGGGACAATTTTACATAAGAATTGGATGTTAAATTTTGGGATACCATGGTATTCCATGGTTAACCATGGTACAAGTGAAAAAGCAGCCACTAATAACTATTAAATTAGTCATTTTTGACTAATTCATTTTTAGAGAGTAGGTATAGTGAAGTAAAATGAATTGGAAACAATTTGTTTCTTTGGCATCATGTCTAGAAATTAATAGATAGAGTAGGTTGTTCCTTATATTACCGGCACATAATTAATGTGAAGCTTTTAACCGAAGATATAGCTTTGTTTACTGGTCGTTTTTGACTGTTCATTACCGAAGTTCGTATTTTATGTCGACGCGATTAAGATCCTATATCCACTTTGACCTACTTAAAACAAAGAATCGGAATAAGATATTTTTATCCCAAAGTAAAACTATTCACTTAATTTCAAGCCCAACCGCCCGGATCAAACCAATTTCGTTTTTGTACGAGGGAACGTTAAAGGGTTAAGAAACTTAATCAAAGAAAATTGGTATTTGATAATTTTTTCATACATGAATTACAGATTTATGATGAGCACCTAGGGTTGCAACTTTTCATGAAAAGTTGAAATTTTTGAAAAGTTGGGTTTTATTTTTCGGAAAAGTTCGGAAAAGTTGGAAAAGATGGAAAAGTTGAGTTTTTTGTAATGTAAACGTATAAAACATAAATAATGCTTGTCAATGTATTAAAATAATTTATTTCTTATGTATTTATACATACGTAACAAAATAACAAAAAAAATATCAAACAAAATAAAATGAACAGACAACATAATAACATCAAAAATAAACTATAGGTTTGAATTTAAAAAATCATATTTTTGAAGTAAAAAGGAATAGAAATTTATACACAACATAAAAAAACACATACAAAATAAAAAATAATTACAAAAAAATATGAAGCAAAAATTATTAAATTTATTGTTGTTAAAAATTATGGAAATTTACAAGTAAAAATTTAAAAAGAAAAAGAAAAGAAAACTTTCTTCTTTTCCACTTTTATATTTTCACTTGCAAATTTCTATAATGAAAAAAAAATGATATTTTTTTCATACTGTGTATAAATTTAAAATACGTTATAATAAAAGAATCTTTATATAATAGAAAATGCTGAGCAGACACCATTTTTGATAAAGTTTGACAAAATGTTATTCCAAAAAACAATGCTTTTAGCATGTTTTACTAAAAACACTTCAAATCTAGCGATTTATATCGAATTTTGACCAAATTATCTACCAAAAAAAGATTATGGTAGTGGAAACACTGGTTAGAAGTCAACTCATTGTTCATTGGCTCCCACCTAATAACTTTTCCAACTTTTCCAACTTTCCATAGGGGGTGCCGAACTTTTCCAACTTTTCCAACAACTTTTCCAACTTTTCGACCGAACTTTTCCTTGTTTGCAACACTATGAGCACCAAACAAGTTCCCATTGTTCACAATTATTCGTTGCTAAGGAACCTTGATATTTCAAAAAACAAATTGTGTACCTATTTCATTTTAAGAGAGCACGTAATAATATGCTTGCAAAAACCAAACCTAACTTGCAGATTTGCAGAAGTCAATAAAAACAATTCAAATCAATTAATTGAAGGTATAAACGGATGAATTTTGGACTGATATGGCTTGCTACAGATCATGTAAGGATTTTTTAATAAACCTTTTCCAAATATTTAAAAAACTACTTACTTGAAATGGTCGTAGCAGACTCCAGTAAACCCACAGGTCTTCATGGTGCAAGAATTGGGTCTAACGGGCCCATTGGTGATTTCATAGGTAATATTGAAGCCATACACGTCCAAAAAATTATCGAGCACCCTCAAATGCTCGCTGTCAGAAGTCTCCAAGTCCAATTCGATCACCAAATAACTTAGATCAGTTTTAACCCACTGCGCTTGCACAATATTCGTCTCGTTGACAGTATGCAGCACTTTTCCTTTCACTGTATAGCCCCTTTCGTACATATGGTAATCGGTGAAGGTCAAACCGCCAAAGACGAAAAGTTGGGTTAAGTATACTGCTATAGTGGTGTTTGATGAGGTTGAGAGGGATGCGTCTATGATCCATCTGCAGTGTATTGGAACTTGAAAGGGCCCGGGGAAGTTCGGGGTGCTTAGTACACCCCTGACCGCGGTGAATGTTCCTCCGCATTCGTGGGCTGCTTTGCACATACCCGTTGCTAACATCACCAGCAGAAACAGCATTATAAAGGCGATTTTCGGCGTCATTATGATCCGATGATCAGTCCATATCTGTAACAAAAATGACAGTTGGTGAGAATATAATATAGTATGAAGGTATAGGTACTTAATAGCTATTTACATACCATGGGAGGAAAATAGTGCTTTTCCTCCCGCGAATAGTTTGATGCCCGACGCGAAGCATTAAATATTCAAGGGAGGAAACGCATTTTCCTCCTGAGGTATGTATAGTTTTTTCTATTACCTTTTAACAGTTTTAAGACATTTTAAGCGTTTTGGTTCCTTTTACTAATCCGGTATGGGGCTATAAAATTATGACAAAATATTAAGTAGGTGTTGCGTCGCCGACGTTATGTTGACAACGCTTTGTTGCTAGGGTATTTTTGGTAATAACAACATAACAGTTTTTATTAGCTGTCAGAATGTTTATCATAAATTTGAAATTCTTCCTACGTTTTGAACAAGAGTTCTAGCGAAGAAGACCATCCGCAGGATCTTGCTAAACAGGCAAGAATAGTTGCAATTAATTTCCTTCCTTAAAGATCGAAAGAGCGATATGAAAATGAATACCTATAGTTTGTTAAAAGAATGGTTGGACAAGCGCGGAGTAAATCTTTTTCCTACAAAATCAAATAGGACTAGACAAGGTACAAAAGCTCTTGATAATGTAAAATTGTTAAAAAAAAAGAGGAAGGAAAATTTTTTCCTCCCGGGGAGGAAAAGTGGCATTTTCCTCCCTCGCTCGGGGATGGAAAATTAAGTTTTCTAGTAAGGTAGTAGAAAAAATTTATTACCAACTCGCTTTATCATATTAACAGGGCCATTAGCTTTAGTGCCAATAAAGCGTGGTAAGCGAAAATAAAGTATTTCAAAACAGTATATCTATATAGGATAGTTAAATTTCACAGCACGAATCCGATGACGGGCTTTCATCCCCAACGCGCACCTTTTCCTTCGAGAATTATGCATGAAAAGTGAAAGTTCTCTTTTATCGCTTCAATAAAATATTAGGGCAAGGCGGTGTAAGAGTGCGCGCTCGAAAATATAATGAAACTTATGAAGCCGTTTTGTTAACAGACATAAGTTTTTAGTATATTTTGTTTTAAAAAAATTAAAGATAAGTTTTAATAGAAAATGAATTTACTACAAAGTGTAACAATTTAAAAAAATTTGCCCTGTGCACAGCTTACTATAACATATTATAATATATATATATATATATATATATATAGTCCTTCGGAGGGGACTTTAAGACCGCGATTCACTCCTGCCCCTAACCCGCTGAAATTATGGGATAAAGTAAAGTGGGTTAAAGTAACGAAATACATCAGTAAGTGTTGTAGTACCAAAGTTCTTTATATTTTAATGATTTCAGAATGGTGTGTAATTATGTGGTTATGTGGACCCGGATTAACATAAAATCTGGTTAATAATTGGTTAAAATTAACAAATATTTTTCAACTGTTTATTGAGAAAAACTTTATTTTTTAATTTATTGTATTGTTCGCGTTACATCTTTGAACTTTGAGAATTGTACAATTTATTTTAGTTAAATTGTAACCAATGATCCCTGGTTAAGTATTTGATTTTAAAAAGATACATACGAATTTGAATCTTTGCATATCAAAGTATACAAACAACAAGTATTTTCGAGGCTCTATCCATGAGATTCTTCTTCTTTACTTCCCTTTTGGTCTTACATCCCAAATAATAAAATCATAAAAACTCTTATCAATTATAACTATATATTATTATAATAATTATTACCTGAACAAGCAATAAAACGAGATAATATTTGTCTTAATATCAAGAACAATTTACTGCGCAAAATAAATACGCTAATATTGTTATGCAAAACAGTCATTTGATTAGGGTTAAAGGGGTTTTGGAAATTTGATAAATGAATGGGTCTGCTCCCTTTGCCATAAAGCAAGGTGTATTGTTTAGTTTATCTGCACGTAGCTATTATTTTTGCGTTTTTAAGTGCTAGAAGCCTTTGAATGCTCATAAAACTTGCCAGATATGATTTGTAGTATCATTTCAACCAATTTAACTGTTTTAAAATGTTTTGGTTTTTAACTTTCAGCCCAATAAAAGCATACCAACAGACTAGGAAGTTTACTGATATTAGCTCGAATTTTATATGGCCTCTTTTATTACAAATTAAAGTATCTATTCCCACCTTTAAAACGTTTCCATGACTTTATGGCGTTTTAGTCACACGCTGAAGTTAGCTTTAAGTTAGTTCGGCTGTCAATTATCAACCAATCGTCGAAATAAATTTCCCTTTTTGTGAAATAACAGTAAATGTGAACAATATTTTTTTATCTCAATAAAAAAATACAATATTAATAAATAGTTTTTTGACGTCAATCTTTGAAAAGTTTATATGCACGTTTATACGGGTGAATCTCACGAAATGTCCCCCGATGGTGTTACCCGTGATATTTATTAAAACTAAATAAGTTTGACCTACACTTTTATTGTGTTTTGATCTTTCATAATTAAGTAGATATTACAGTTCATGAACTGAACCTGCAGGTTCCAGATTTTTAACCGCAATTAATTATTTTTTACAATGTTTTAAAAGTCTAAAACCTATCCTCCGTGACTGTTACTCTTTCTAGGTTAACCTATATGTTTTCAAATATCTGAGGTAGTAAAAGCATACTAAAATATCAGTTCAGTAAGTAAATTAAACACATCCAAAGCAATCGAGTCAAATATAAAATATTATTAAAAATTAAAAGAAATAATTTTTATAACCATTTATGTAGGTGTTACAAAAATTGATTCTATCCTCCGTAAATCTGTTTTTGCTTTTATTTTATGCAACGGATGGCGCTTTAATCATTTTAAATAAGCAAAAATCTCTGTTTACGACATTATAGATGCATGTGATTCCTGAAGGTCAGTTAGAATTTATATGCAGATGAGAGTGTTGCTGTTTTATAATCGATGTGGCTCCCGTCCCGAGGCGGGACTTAACTTCGATCCCGACAGACGTCACACACTGTAAATCCGTTTTTATTCCCCGAGCTTTTATAATTTGTATCAAGCTGGATGGCTTAGATGGTAGGGCGGTCGCTTGGCATGCGAGAGGTACCGGGTTCGATTCTACTAGAACTTTTTTTATTTTTTTTATTTTATAAATTTGTTGTTTCTTTGTTAAAAAGTGTTTTATTTTTATCGTAACATAAATTTGCCCATTTTAGTTGGGTTTTTTGCTCAATGGGGCGGGGGGCCCAATGGGGCGGGGTCGGTTGGGTTGTGTTGTTGAGTTTGGGTTGGTTTGGTTTTATGACGTAACTAAAGTGCCCTTAACATGTATACATTATTATTATTATTTTATTATAACATAACAAATATTAAAATTATGACGTCAATCGGGACTGAACTTAAGTCCCGCCTCGGGACGGGAGCCACAGCGTTTTATAATTCAAAAGTTTAGGTTCATTAATTTGCCATTTAAAAACCTATCCACCGTGAAGTGTAATATCTCAGTAAGTAGATTTTTTTTATAAATATTTTAAGTGTGTAAAATTGTATTTTTAAAAAATATTAAGGTGTCAAAAGATACAATAACTTATTTCAAATATACAAAGGGATGTTTTTAAAAAAACATACGAAATCCTAACCTCCGTGAAGCTATCTTCTGTAAAGCTCTAATATTCAAAATGTATGATTTCTTAAAATTCTTGCATTAGTGCAGAACCACTTATGTTGTGTTATTACTAGACCTGGTGGCTTCCCAAAAACCCCATTCTAGACTAACAGTGAAACAAACAAAAATAAAAAATAATCATTTTCACTTGGGGGACATCTCAATATATTCTCCCATATTCGTGCATACGCCTTTCTGGTTTGATGCGCTCGATATATTTATAATAAATACATTACAGTATTTATTTTCAGCAATAAATTGTTCGATATATATTTTCGACAAATATTATTTGATTATACGCGCTTGTAGCGAACCATTACCATTTAAATGATTGTTATTGAATAATTAGAGTATGATTGATAAAATAATTCGGCGATTGCGTTTGACGTTCGCATTAACGGTTAGCGGAACGTTGGGTTTTTCGATTGTAAAGATAATAGCCGATCAGCTTTCATAATAATATTCAATTCAAACCATTTAAACGGAATTGATTCTAAATGATTATTATTTTGTAACGTGTTTATTATTGGACAATTATTGTTTAAACAGATGAAATTTAAATTTTATTTATTAAAATTTGAATTAAAAAAATGATTAGAATTTTGAGCGGTGCCATGTTATTTTGGTCCGGGCCGAATTTAATAATTAATTTAAATAAAATATTTATACATGAACATTTTTAATATGCGAGTTCATTGTTTTATTATTTAAAAAAGAATTTATTTAAAATATGAATTTTTAAAAGCCGAATAGTCTAAATGAAAAGCTCGATTTTAATAAATTCTATTCAAAAATGCATATTATTTATTCAGATTTATTCACCGCATCATACGAGATATATTATTTTTACTGAAACGTTACAGTTGTACGCAGTTAATAATAATTTAATAATAACTTCTTATAAATAAAAAAACAGGCATAATATAATTTATCTATTTTGCGTTCATAATGACATCATTATAATACCGCTTTCGGTGGTGGGCTATACTTTAAAGTTTAAAGTAAAATATTATGCTGTTTAAAGTTTAAACAGCATAATATTTTGCATATTTGTTATAATATTTTTGTGATTTTTCTAGTACTTTTTTGGCAATAAATTTTGTTTAACACCAAAGAAAATCCTTTTTTTCTTCTTTAACATTAACAGCCGCCTATTGTAAATAAGTAAATTAAGGACGGCATGGCGAATCGATTTTGACATTAACTGTCAAACCAATGACTGTGATACCAACTATCTAAAGTAAAATTCGACCAAATTAAATTTAAGGTGTAAAATTAATTTTTTATAGAATTTTTGCAAAATAGATGAAATAGCATAAAGAACTCATGTCATAAGACCTTTCGTCGCTCGTTTTATAAATTGTCCGCGTGCGACAAAATGACGTCT